TGTGGAGTCCCCTTCTTTGGAGATTTTCAAGCCCCGCCTGGATGCAGTCCTGAGTAACATGCTCTGACAAGCTCCGGGTGGTCCTGCTTCAGCAGGGGAGTTGGACTAGATGATCTCTATGGTCCCTTCCAACTCTGAAAATTCAGTGAAATTCAGTGAAACCACTTTCCCAATTTTTAAAATATGGGGTTGCACTTGGCAACCTTCTTGGAGCCGCCACAGGGGAGGCTGGTGCTCGCCCCGTGCACTTTGCTGCAGCGAGACGATGCCCGCGCTTCCTTGGCAGCAAGAGAACGCCGGCCAACACCAGGAGTGCAGCACTTGTCCTCCTTCCCTCTTGGCACCTTTCGCCGTTGTCTCAGCCACGTGGCAGCTTGACAACACAGGGAGTTATTTCCTACTACGGAATAGATGCTTTTCCTGGGGAACAGCCCAGAGCAGGGCTTGGTAAAGGGTTGGAGCATCTCCTTGCTTTTCAGCTGCGTTTATTCCCATTTAATTCTCAAAATGCCTTCACACCCTGAAGGTTAAGCATTTACTTAAATGCTTTGCTGACATCAGGATGACACTAAGAAGCTGGTCTAAAAGCTAGCATCGTTTTTATCAAGACACTGATGGTAAAGATAAGTTAGCTAACACGCCCCTAGACTCAAGGAGACAATTAGGGTTCATTATTTGTGTTGATCATGAAAAGAATAAAATATAACAAGCTGTTATGACATTTGTTTGACAGTGTGTATTAACACATTTTTCTGGTCACTGTTTTTTTACAGCCAGCTTGCTTAACAGCTGCTGACAGGCTTTGCCTTACATGCAGTCGAAGATAACTCAGTTCTCTTTAGAATCAACTGCATCTGTACATTTGGACAAATATATATACACACATATATATACACACGTACACATGGTGTCTCTATCTAGAGAAGACTCCATATATGAGCAAGGAATTTGGAAGCACTAATGTTAAAGGCCATTTAAAAAAATATATAAATAAAATAAAAACCGACAAGGCACCCAGTGAAAAGAAGGCTCAATCTAAATATTTTGCATGTATCTGTAAACATGCTAAAGGGTCAATAATCCTTCCTGTGGTTACTAACAGACTCCAGGTCTCCTGTGACATATATGATGCAACAGCAAAGCCACCGAGCTGTTGCTACTATGCAAACACCTTCATTTTTCTGTAAGACAGAGGAGGTACGCTGTGTCTGTGAGGGCCAGACAACATATGCTTTTTATAAGAACTCTCTAACATTCCTCGCTTATAAGCAACAGAGTGCTATCTGTCCTGGGCTGCATTCTCCAGGCCAGTCTAACTTTACCAGACCAGGAGTCTTACTTGTGCATTCCTACTCTGCTCCCACCGGAGTGTTTGTGGAGGCAATAGCTGAAACCCAGAGACTTTGAGAAAAGTGAGATTTTTAGCATGACTTGACCTTTCCCTTTGACGTATGGGTTGATGCAGCTACGTTTTGACAAGACATCAGTCTGGGCGATTCAAGGATACATGAAAAGTGGGGACTTTTTCTTCCCTCCCCCTATTTCTCCTGCAAGCCACGTCAGGGCAGCAGCATACATCACTTTCCCTCATTCCTACCAGCACTGAGTGACAAACCACAGCAAATGGCACTAACAGATACCCAGCCAGGGTTTCAGCTGTAAATCCGCTGCCTAAATCTTGTTTTCAGTGCACTACAGGGAACAAGAGGCTACACAGGGCCAACCTGCCCCAAAGGAGCCGAAGGTGCCACCCAGAAGCACCCACAGATGTGTGCAACGGCAGGGACCACCTGCGGGACCCGTTTTTTATACACAAGTCATTTCTGGCTGTAGAACAGCTGGATGGAGCACAGTCATCTCCATCGCTCCCCCTCCAATGCCAAAGAAAGCTCTGGCAACCTGACTTCTGGAGAAAGCAGATGTGGGCAGGTGAGGACAACAAGAGCTCAGATTATCAGGTGATATGAATCCACGCACCAAAATGTGAGAGAGTCTCGTTTATTTGGCAAGTTGTGAGAACCAATCACTAAAAACATGACATCTGACAATGCCCTTGAAAAATCTCTCATTAGTCTTCATGGATCACGTCTGATCACTTCTCATCCTGCAACACCAAGCTACTGGCAAGGGAGGCAGAACCTCATAGGGGAGGGATCTTCCTGCCATCAGGTCACCTATCCCAAAGGCAGGGTGTGTTCTTCACAACCCTTCTTGGGGTGAACATCAAATCAACAAGGCTTGTAAGCTCTGAGTTAGCTGATGGGAGTTATTGGGACCTGCTTTGGCAGGGGGGTTGGACTAGTTGATCTCCAGAGGACCCTTCCGACCCCTTATCATTCTGCGATTCTGCGAAAAGCATCAGCCTCACAGGTTGTCTATTCCCCTGTGTAAGAAAAAGGCAGAACAAAACACAAACATAACATCAAGGTATTTAGATAAGCCTAAGGGAAGGCTTATCTAAACAAATATATAAATTATATAAATAAGTTTATATAAATATATAAATAAATATATTTTAAGGGAAAACAGCAAAATCTGACTGCAAGAACGCCTCAGTGTATGTTTTAAATACCATCTTTGGTGGTCCATGAACACCAAACGTGAATGCGTGCAGGTGCTATATTCACACCAGCGTTTTTTTTGCTGCTACAGCTCTTTGTCATAAGAAATTAGGCCACACGGCAACGAAAGAAACATTCCTTTGTCCTGAAACAATCCCAGCAGAATTATTTTGAAGCGTTAGCAGTGGTTGAATTTATTGTATGTCAAACGGGTGAGCAAACCTGGGGCTCCAAACAACTCTAATCCAAGTCACAAGAAGTTCGCACAGCTCCCCAGCACGGTCACACACCCGCGAGGGAAAAAAGGCAGCCTACAATGGAAAGCCAAATTTGCTCCACAGCAGAACAACTTCTGGGCAAGAGAGGAGGAGGGGATGAGTAAATCAAAAATGACTTCTCCCTGCTTAAACTTCAATACCCTTACAGAGACTCGGTCTTGTCTTTGTTTACTGGCAGCAGCATTAGCACAGAGTCTTGTAGCAATTCCACACGGTACATGGCTCAGCAAACAAAGGAAACAAACCAGACATGGGAATCCCAAAATTAAGCAAGAAGTGGTGTTTCTCCAACATAATGTTCATGAACAGAAGAAGCTCTAGCAAGGTACTCCACTGAGGGGTGTGGTGTGTCCTTATATTCCCATATCTAAACTGGCCCACAAATGGGGAAAATATTTTATTTTTTTTTAAGTTGCAAGCCACAAAGGCACCAATACTACCATCATTTCTAATTTGCAGCATCAAGTGGGCTGGAAGACCTTAGCCCCTTCTGCATGAAGATGGTAAGATCTGTCTGAGCTAAAGCACAGCTTGTAAAAGACACATTATGGCCTTGGTAGAGCACACAGCTAGGAGAGCAGATGCTTTGGGCTGGCCAGGCTTTTTGAACTGACTGCTCCTCTAACCAGAGAAGTGTTTGCAAACAGCATTCCAAAGATTTGGGGCTGAATAAAGCAAGTGACCAAGTTCCTAGGAATGGAGACACTTGAAAGAGGAGACACCACCTTCTCGGACAAAGAGGTCTTTCCTCAGGGGAGCCATCTGGGAAACACTCAGAGAAGAAGAGTTTTGCATTGCTTCAACATCTCTGCTGGAAGAGTCCCTGGAGGCAAAGAGTGTGCTAAGCCTCCTAAGAAGTGGTGAATGGCAGTTAAAACACAAAGGTCCTCAAAAGGCCCCAGGGAAAAAGAGGAGGAAGAGCACACGTACCAAGGAGCAGTCTCTCAATACAAGGTGACATTGACAGGTATCTTCTAATAGAGCCGATCAGCATCACCCAAGCTAGCACCAAACTAAAAACTCATTACAGAAATCACATCATCAATCACATGCCCTGTCAGGGCAGAGGAGGCTGCCTTGAAACATGTATTCAAGCAAAGACTCTTGTCCCAACAGTGTTCTTTGAGTCCACATGTTGGCAGCATGTGAGGTTCAGCATGTTACACCCAAGGCAGAGCACTGCCAAAACTACGTGCCCAAGCAGAAGATATGCCTACATAAGAGGTATATGCCCTAAACACAGAAATTCCTTGATTTTGTTAAGGCTAATGGATGTCTTCCAGGAACAGCAGTGTAGTTTGCCTCAACACCTACAGGCACCTTGTTTGAAGAATGCCATCTGTAGAGCAGGGACCACATACCATGCTACCCTCAAACTATGGGCACTTACACCTTCTCTGGATAAGTCATCAGGCAGGGACACATCTCCTTGGGTAAGGAATGCCTCATGTACA